AGTGGTTCAGTGTCCTTTCCCCCTCGGGACTCATGATGCCAAGTCGGATCATGCTTAAACGACCAGGTCTGCAATGCAGCACCAGTTGTTCTGTTCATCTGCTCCGGGTATGAATTTCCAGACTCCCCTGACAGTCAAAGCAGCGCTTGATGTAATGTGCTAAGGAGCAGTGAAGTGTGAGGGAGCGAGAGGGCTTGACACACTGAAGCGGAAAGTCGGTTCATCTCAAGCAGCTTGGGGAGGAAACAGGGAGGAGGGATGACTGCTAGGTACTTCCTGGTCTACTAATCTCCCACAAGCAATGAAACCAGACCTAAAACCAACCCTCAAGGTGGTATGTGGTACACAGTGACAGGTATTTTTCTCTGGCATATACAAGCAATATAATCAATTCATATATACATCACACTTTACCCCAAAATATATTATTGATTGATGATAAATATATTCTCTAGACATTTGGGTGATTAATTTGTTCCAAATTACTATTAAAAATTTTTTTTGGTCTTTTCTCTTTTGGGAGGAGAGAATTCTTAGAAATTGAACAAGGGACAGATAAGGGCCGTGCGTAATCCTAACCAAAAGACAGGCTTAGATGGTCCAAAAACGAATCCAGGAAGACTTGCTTCCATGACTGATTATTGTCATCTACCCACTACAAATAAAAAGATGTTATGAGCTGTCCAGAATTCTTTTCTAAGTGGAGATTTTAAAATCTTCAAATAATTGCGATACATTAGAAGGAAAATATGATAACACAACATGACAGCAAATTAAACATTTGATAACATCTTAGAAAATACAGAATTAGGGGAAAGGATCAAGTGAAAAATACAATAGTATTAAATTTTACTTACATCTAGACACAAGTGAGACACAATTTTTACAAGTAGGTCTGAATTGTTCTTAGCTCAAATCTGCTGTGCTGATTAAGATTCAAATTCAACCCAGTAATTCTTCAAAAAGTGTCAGTGGACAAAGAGAATGATAAAATACTTTCTTTTTTTTTTAGCATTTGTGATGTGATTCTGGCATTTAATGCAAAACAAGACAATAAAGAAAGAAGAATATTTTTACAAGTGTACGGGAGGAATTTTCTGGAGGAACATACATGGAAGTACATGCGTATGCAAATTAATCTTAATTTTTGAACATCAAATTATATTGTGTTAGATAAGAACCTTGCTCTTCACAACTTGAAGTGTTTGTAGGTAGTTAAAATTCAGAGGAATAAAATCATATTTTATTTGTTGAGTCACCGGGTTTAATTAAAAGGAGTTGAGAGAAACCAGGTTTTCCTTAAATTTTGATTCAAAATTATCGGCTTAAGACAATCTCATCCCACTCTAGGACTCTGGCTGAAGAGCAAAGATAGATACGAGGTAGATTTTTATAGGAAGAACTATCCTATAACTGCACATTTAAACAAACAATTGTGTGTGGTGCCTGTCTTTTCCTCCAATTTTATAAGCTTGATTATAAACAACAAGATTATAAGCTCTAGTTAGCAATGCCTGCTATAAACAAGCTCACATCTTACCAAGAGTAAGAGAGGCAGTTCTGTATTATGATGTCCACGTAGGCCAGCCCCCAGTTAGATTCAGGTCCTTCTATTTACCGATAAGACAAGCCACACATGATTGAAGCTAATACCCCAAAACTGTTTCAAATGGTAGAGAAACCACAGAGGACAAAGCAAACGTGACACATACGAACCTCACGGAATGGCCTTTTCTATCAGTCCTGGTCTTCTCCACTCTTTCTAGCCCCAGATGCCTAACCTTTCGAAGGAAAACACTGAAAAGATCCCCATTTTCTCTCCTCATCCATCGGTGCCGCCAGACCCAGACGCTTCACAGTGAGGCCGTGTGCTTTTCTGCAGATCCGCCCTGAATGCTAAATAACTCTCCTCTCTCTGCGGAGCTCAGGGAAATGGCAGCTTGAGCAATGAGTGGTTGGCATGGCAACAAGGAAAGGAAAATCTGCAACCTCTTGTATTGTTAGGCCAGCTTGTTTATTTGCCTTGGGGGGTGGTGTGGATGGCTCAGTCATTTCCCAGGAGAAATAGTTCTGTCCTATTTGGCTCTGCGTACATTCCTGTATATTATATACAACATGCCATAGCTTAAATGGAATGATGACTCCTACCAGTAAATCTCAAGTCTGAGAATGGAGGCAGGAGGCAGGGGGGAACAAGGAGGTAAGGAAAGGCAGGTTTGAATTTTCTAAGATTGAAAAGGGAAAGCATAGAAGCTTTTAAAGGTATATTCAGATTTTTGCTTGTGAGCGATGACAACATTTTCCTCCACCGTCTGTTTTCAAGCTTAAGTTTACAATTCCGGCAACAATAAACTTGGCTATATGAGTATGTTTATCACTTGGCTACTTGAGTCAAGGGGATGAGAAAGGGCAGGCAAGGCTCTAGAAGGTGCATCTCCATTGAAAAGCTCTGAAAAAGGGACCATGGATAACGCGGAAGACCTTTTATAGATCTTACCGCTTGGACCTGCCAGGAAAGAATCCCTGGAGATGCTGGGGAAACAGAGCAGCCCATGGAAGTCAAGGGGTGGTTACTGAGGAAGTGCCCTTTAACCTTTACATTCACTCAAAGAGATAGCTGGTGCTGGCTTTTGACGGTCATGACGGCACTTTCTACCGTGACTGGTGTGTCTTACTGGTACTTAAAGCACTGTACCTTAGGATAGTCAAAATCACGAAAGCATGAGTTTAAATATTTCAAAGTTTTGACATCTGTTAACTTCTCAGAATTGCCTCCTTTCTATCTGCATTTATTCTGAAAACTGGGAAGAAAGGCCTGATTTTCTGCCATGCTTAGAGATGTGTGGATGTGATGGTTCTGCAGTGGAAGAACTGTCTTTGGTGGCTGTGAGTGAGAACCGCTGCAGCTGGCTGTGTGGCTCTGAATCGGACAGTGCACGGCAGCGGAAAGAGCACTGGGCTACAGAGAGGGGCTGAGTAGCCACGTGGTCTTGGACAGGTCACTAGACCTGGAAAGAGGAGGACTTTCCTACAAGTCGTCCTACAAGATAACGTCCTTCCAGTTTTCTTGATGTTACCTTGATATAAATTGTAGTGTGACTCTGGGCCCCACCCACGAATAAGAAACTAAAGAGATGAGGCTCTAATTTTTGCTCAGAGTTGAAACTCTGTGTGGACCCAAATGCATTTCTCTTGCTTGAGCAAATAAAGATAAGTGGACGGGAAAGAGAGAAAGGGTTTATTGCGAGCCTTTATAATTATTTATTCATGTTTGCAAACCAATTTTAAAATAGCTACTTTAGTCTTATGTTTTATTCACTTATCAGTAATAATAACTTTCCAAAGTGGCCTGATTTCTCAATGGTTTCTCATTTCTTTTTTTAGGCTTCTGTGGCATGGCTTCTAAAAAGGGCCCTTTAATAAGTAAATGAAAGGAAAATTCTTAAAGTAAAACAGTTATGCTCTAATAGGTGAGCATATAATTCTATCTGTTTTCTATGGATTAGCTTTAAATTACAAGGAAAGAGACAAAATCTAGAAGGGTAAGCTGTAAAGAAATGTAATTCAAAGTGTTATGTCCTTCCAGAATGTCCTGCCCAACACCAACCCTCTCCCCTGTCTCCCCGCCACCGTCCCAATGCATAAGATCAAAGTTAAGCTGACTGTAGGCTTGCATTTTTAAAAATAAAAAATTATTATGACCCAGAAAAGAAGCTGAAAAGCCTAAATGAGAGAGAATGAAGTAGACCTTTGGTTGAAGTAAGCCCACTCGGATGAAGAGAGGAAGTTGGAGGGAGATGTGATGATTGCAATTCATTTATTATGTGATCTTGTTTATAGAGATTAATAAAAATTGATAACTTTAAGGAAAAGACATTTCTAAAAATGAAGAGAAGACTATAGCAAAGAAGGAAAATAGAAAAAAGATCTTTGGATTCAGCTGGCAATGGCCTGGACACTATAACATAGCCGAGGACCTGATGTCACTGAGAAATGTTTCATGTTAACAATGTCCTGAGAAATATCTGTTACAGGGGGAAATTGCAATATCCCAATAGATCATATGGAATGATATGAGTGGGCTAGTACATGGCCTGGTCCTCTTTAAAACAATCACCTCAAAATACAATGCCACCTTGTATCAGTGACTTCTATCATCAAAGGATAGCATTTTTAAAGACCATACCTGAGATTTGAGAACATTTCTTTTTCCTGGGGATGATTTTTGTTTGTAATTTGTGAAACAGTTACATATACACCGTCAATGATACAATTTATTATTTTATTAAGCTAAACTTTGGAGAGAAGTTTAATTGCATTTTAACTTATCACTGGAACATCCTCTGTATGTATGAGGAGATAATATTTTACATTTTTCCTCTCCTACCACTTTCCACATGTGGATAATTGATGGATTCAATACTTGGCCTCCTATCTGGAGGGAGACTGGTTTAAAAATCACATCAGAGTTTGGACTGAAAAACATCATTCTGGTAACCCACAGCTCGCTGTTTACAACTTTCGTCACTCTAAACAAACATATAAAACTTATGTAATTCTTCTTCCAAAGTTATGTAAAATTCATCTGATATATGTTAAGCTGAATCAGAAATTATGTCTGGATGGTCCTGAACCCATAATTTAAAAGAAACATGTTAGTCTCTTTTTAATTTATGTTACTTTCTCAAGCTGGTGAGGACACACTGACCTGGCAAACAGATTTTTCTGATGCTCTTAAATACTTAATTAAGGCCATTGAAAAAATGAAATAGTGAGTGATGTTGGTTCTCTACTGCTTGACCAAGTACGTTGCAGTGATTTTTCCCTCGAGTATATCACAAGCCTCTGTAATAGTCAGTGAGAGTCAACTGGTGAGAGTTCAAGAGACAAAATGGGACCTTTCAATTGCTTTCACCATTAATTTGAAAAGAACTGTTTTTTCTTTTTGCATGCATTCATTCAACCACTCACTCAACACACATTTATTGAGTCCCTGAGGCATAATGTCAAGTGCTGCTGGATATGATGATGAGAAAAATCCTGGTCTGTCACATTATCTCCTTCCTTCCCACAACCATTTTGTTTCAACACGTCCTCCACTCTATGCCTCAGTCCCATCAACACTTT